CTGATTTTGTCATATCTTAGTGACTGGTATAACTGGATTTCCTGGATAACAAGATTTCCTGGATAACAGGATTTCATGGATAACAAGATTTCCTGGATAACAGGAATTTCATGGATAACAAGATTTCCTGGATAACAAGATTTCCTGGATAACAAGATTTCCTGGATAACTAACCAGTAATTACCAATTCCTCTGCATATGACAGGCTACTAATTCCACATGATTTCTGTATCAGGGGCAAAAGACAAATTATCATCAGATGCAATGTCCAAAAACAAAAAGGTCATGGGGAAATCTTGCCTTGCCTTGGGATCTAACCAATGAGGTAAAAAATTTCTATCCTGACAAATGATCTCGGATTATCGAGTCTAATTTCTAAGAATTACAGGAACCCCTGTCATCTCGGTTTAAAATTGCCCATTTTATATGGAGACAACTTATCAATAAGGATTATTTGAGCCGGGTCAAGACAAAACCAACTTAATGGATTTAGGACCAGCATGGATCCAGACCAGCCTGCGCATTTGTGCAGTCTGATCAGGATCCATGCTATTCGCTATCAGTTTACTATCTACTTGTAATAGGGTTTGTAAGTGAACAGCATGGATCCTGATCAGACTGTGCGGATGCGCAGGCTGGTCTGGATCCATGCTGGTCGCAAACCCATTATGTTGGTTTTGTCATGACGTGGTTCATTTACCAAAACACTGCCTCAGGTTCTCGTCACTCTTGTGTGCACACTGTGGTTTACCATCACACACAAACAGATAGGGTATACATTTGTTTTCATACATGCACTGGAACTCATGAGCTGAACATGTGATATTACTCCGAACTCGCCCTGAAACACAAAATATGCTCTTAAGTATTTTGCCACATACATTATATATGTTTGCATCTTGCTATTTCTTTTGTGAAATATTTCATCAGAAACTAATCGCACATTCTCAGTTGTTACAATCCAGAGTATACGCATCAGATGAACTCAACTTAGTCAAAAATATATACTGGTTGTTTTGGTTAAGATAAAATCACTTGGTCAGTTTTTCTTCTTTAACCTTAACCTAGCAAAATATCTGAAATGGACATGTTCATATTTTCATCTGGAAAAAAGTTTCATCATTTTAAGAGAAATTTTCAAAATAAGTAGTCTTAATGTATAGCGAACAGTGCTTGACCATGATCAGAGGGCAAAGAAGAAAACCTACTTCTGTTAGGGGCTGCAAATTAAGTTTTACAGCACTTTCAGTTATATAAGCTTCCCATTGTTAATTCCTGCAGTTCATTTTATATAAGCTTCCCTTCCTGCTGTTAATTCCTATACTTCAGGTTATATAACTTTTCAGCTGTTAATTTTAGCAGTTCAGGTTATATAAGCTTCCTGCTGGTAATTCCTGTAATTCATGTTATATAAGCTTCCTGCTGTTAATTCTGGTCTATATAACCTGTCCAAATTCTTTACAAGTACAACTGATAATATATCTATTAGTCAAGGGCTATAACTCAGCAAATTGTTACCTGATGTTTGATTGCCACATGCAGCTTCATCACTACCATCGGGACAATTAAATGCTTCATCACACAGGAATTTTTTGGGAATACAAGCCGCCGAGCTGTGACATTTGAAAAATAGTGACCTGTCACATGACACCCCTGTAATATAATAAGTGACAGGAAAAAAATTAAATGTTCAATGTCCAAAATAGATTATATGTTCCAAGACCAAAAAAGAATTAAACATTCAGCATTGATGCTTAACAAATTTTGACCACAAAAATGTCTTAACATCAGTACAGAGCCTTGGGCAGACTTGGCCTCTTCTATACTACTGGTATATGTTTGTAATTAACACTAACATTCACAGAACTATGTAAGAATAAGGGAGTTTCAATCTATAAAATTACCTCCGCAAAACTGTTCATCCTCCCCACCTTCGCAGTCTCTGAAGTTATCACACATTACAGATTCATCCAGACATCTCCTTGAACTATTGTAGCATAGAATCTGTCCTGGTGCACATTCTATTATCGGTCTAGAGGTTGTAAAGTCTGCAATGATCAATTTGCAAAATCATAACCTTTTTGCAATGTTAAAATTGTACTATGGATTTGCTCTTTCAATTCAAAGGCAACCGATTTTAGGTTAGTTGCCATACTATCATCTCAAGTTATAATTAGTACATGACTCTTACACAAAATGCCAATATGACCTTGACCTAATGACCTAAATAACAAAAGGTGTTATCTAATGGTAATGGACAATGTTCCTACCAAGTTTCACAAACTTAAGGTAATCATTTCTCAAGTTATTGATAGAACAAGGATTTTACACAGTGTCACTGTGACCTTGACCTCTGACCTAATTACCTCGAAATAACTAGAGGTCACCTACTGGCCATGGGTAAATTGTATATATTTGACCAAATGGCCTCACACTCATGTTTTCTCTTTCATATTTGTTTTATTTGAAGTGTTACTATAAGAAATTGCTTATCAATATTTATTAAAAATGTATTGTGAATTCGTAAACAACCTAATAAAGGCCATGTATATAAACAGCAGATGTGTGTTTTTTCTATTTGATTTTGTTTGAAGTGTGCACTGTCATTGACATATGGTGAATACTCTGCTTTAATGGATGAGAAAAGGCCTGAAAACCCACAGGGCCCATCCCTTTGTGCAATACTTAAAGATCAAACAGGTGTAGAGTTTATAAAAGTTTTTACTGAGACCTTGAACACCAGGATTTACTTTGGTCAGTATACATTCTGTGCGAGTTACTGACCAATCAAATACCTGACGTTTGAGTATGAACCTAGACAAATTCTTTATAACCTCCGACTTAGGAAGACAGAGCAGCCTGTACTTTTATTCAAGTTTAACTCACCACAGTTGAATTCATCTGTGTTATCTCCGCAATCATTGTGGGAGTCACACCTCATCCAGTGTGCCACACAGCGGCCATTTCTACAGTGGAATTCATTATTCATACACGTGTGTGGTCTAACTGTACCTGTCAATTATGAATAATGGTATAAAATTTATTACATTAATGAAATAATGGTATAAAACTTATTACATTATAGAATAATGGTATAAAACTTCTTACATTACGGAACAATGGTATAAAACTTCTTACATTATAGAATAATGGTATAAAACTTCGTACATTATAGAATAATGGTATAAAACTTCTCACATTATAGAACAATGGTATAAAACTTATTACATTGTAGAATAATGGTATAAAACTTCTTTCATTATAAAATAATGGTATAAAACTTCTTACATTATGGAATAATGGTATAAAACTTCTCACATTATAGAGTAATGGTATAAAACTTCTTACATTATAGAATAATGGTATAAAACTTCTTTCATTATAAAATAATGGTATAAAACTTCTTACATTATGGAATAATGGTATAAAACTTATTACATTATGGAAAAATAGTGTAAATTTTTTTACATTATTGAAAAATAGTGTAAAACTAATTTCATCAAGAACTACCACAAAGACAGCTCATTCTAAATCTATATTCCGTGCTTGATGGTTAAACTAAATCCATGCAAAAATTATCTATAGTATTTGTAAGGGGTAAAAGTTTATTAGTTGATCCTTTCCATCATCTAATAGTTTAGCTGCCCACAAAATATTAACCAAGTCTTACGCCAAAGCAGACATTAGCATTAGAGGGAGCATGATAACTCCCCTATATTCTTCAAATGCTTGAACTAAAATGTTTTCATAGATTTTTAAGACTCTGGTAGTTGCAGCAATTCTATCTGGATATTATGTTCATGAATTATTGCGATATATTTACTACAGTGTTCATGAATTATTGTAATATATTAACAACAATGTTTATGAATAATTAAAATATATTTACTACAGTGTTCATGAATGATTACAATATTTTTATGACAGTGTTCATGAATGATTGTAATACATTTATGACAGTGTTCATGAATGATTGTAATACATTTATGACAGTGTTCATGAATGATTGTAATACATTTATGACAGTGTTCATGAATGATTGTAATACATTTATGACAGTGTTCATGAATGATTGTAATACATTTATGACAGTGTTCATGAATGATTGTAATACATTTATGACAGTGTTCATAAATGATTTTTATATATCTACCACAGCGTTCATGAATAATTGTAATATATCTACCACAGTGTTCATTAATGATTTTAATATATTTACCACATCTATATTCATCGCTATTATCTCCGCAGTCGTCTATTCCATCACATCTCAAACCATTTCTTATACAAATACCATTATCACAAACAAACCCTGTACAAGGACCTGAAGTTGTTGGAAGTGCTGTAACAGGTGATACTGTACCTGCAACAAATACATATAGAAAAAGAGGTACAGTCTATATCTAAAAACTTCAGTTTGAATAATAAGAAAACAAGATTATTAAAATCACTTTTAAGATATTTCTCGCAACTAAAAAAATCGTACATATATGAAATTCTAACCTAGTCAGACTTGACTTGACTTGAGCCAATGGTTCAAATTTATCAGAGCAGAAACTTTACCAACAAGCCGTCTCCCTACATGCAATCATTAATCATTCAAATTTCATGCAATTTTTTAACAAAGCTTAAAAACAGAAATCTCTGTTTTTTTGTGTTTCATTTCCCAAAATTACGGTAAAAAATTAGTGAGTTTCTCCTATTATTGAATAAATATTTAGAATTACTTTCTGTACTTTATACCTGAAAAACCTCTTAACAATGCAATGGCATAAGGAAAACAAACTATAGTCTATCATTAAAATAGAAGAAGAGATTTTGTATAGAAAAGGCCTAAAATCTTTCCATTCATAAAAATACTGATCTTACTAGTGCAATTTGCCTCGTCATTTCCATTGCTACAGTCCTTGTCGCCATCGCACACCCATGACAAATACACACAACTTCCATCACCACATGGACTTTTCCACGACGGGCACGTAATACTACAGTTGTTTTTCTCGTCAGATCCGTCAGCGCAGTTATTTCTGTGATCACACACCTGATAATCGGGAACACATCTTGGCGATCCTGACAAACATTTGAACTGACCCTCGCCACAATCTGTACCTGTTTCAACAGACAATTTTTTTAACATTTGACAGTAAGAAAAGGGGCATCACTCTGTAACAAGAGGGCCATGATGGCCCTGAGGTCGCTCACCTGTATATAGCCCCCCCCCCCCCCCCCACACACACACACCTATAAGAAGATGTTTCATGCTTAACATCTAAGCTCTAGCTCATTGGGCTTTTTAAAAGAAGATTTTTTTAAGTTTTTACAATACACATATAGTTAAAAACAATGACACCCCTGGGGCGGGGCCAATTTTTACCCCAGGGCTTTTATTTGAACAAACTTGGTAGACACTTACTAGAAGATGTTTCATGCTTAATATCTAAACTCTAGCTATTTGGGTTTTTTCAAAGAAGATTTTAAGTTTTTGCTATACACATATAAGGAAAATCAATGACCCCCAATTTTGACCCCAGGGCTTTTATTTGAACAAACTTAGTAGACACTCACTAGAAGATGTTTCATGCTATCTAAACTCTAGCTATTTGGGTTTTTTCAAAGAAGATTTTTTATGTTTTTGCTATACACATATAAGGAAAATCAATGACCCCCGGGCCGGGGCCAATTTTGACCCCAGGGCTCTTATTTGAACAAACTTGTTAGACACCTATTAGAACATGTTTGATGCTAAATATCTTAGCTCTAGCTCTTTGAGTTCTTTAAAAGAAGATTTTTTAAGTTTTTACTATATGCATATAGGGAAAATCAATGACCCCTGGGACCGGGCCAATTTTGACCCCAGGGCTTTTATTTGAACAAACTTGGTAGACACCCATAAGAAAATGTTTCATGCTAAACATCTAAGCTCTAGCTCATTGGGCTTTTTAAAAGAAGATTTTTTAAGTTTTTACTATATGCATGTAGAGAAAATCAATGACCCCCTTGGGCGGGGCCAATTTTGACCCCAGGGCTTTTATTTGAACAAACTTGGTAGACACTCACTAGAAGATGTTTCATGCCAAATATCTAAGCTCTAGCTCTTAGGGTTTTTTAAAAGAAGATATTTAAAGTTTTTTCTTTCGGTTGCCATGGCAACCAGAGTTCTGCATGGAATTAAATTCTTTGAACAATTTTTAAAGGTGACCACCAAAGGAACATTCCTGTGAAGTTTGGATGAAATTGGCCTAGTGGTTTATGAGGAGATGTCATTTAAAGTAAAAGTTTACGGACGACGGACGAAAAGCGATCACATAAAAAGGTAACACAAAGAGTTATGGGATCTGTGCCACTCATGTAAGATTATTACAGGGATTAAGTGTGTAAAGTTTCAACCCATTCCCTTCTTTATCTTTTGAGATAGCAACCTGCACGCAAAAAAAACCAAACAAAGTAACACAGCAAAGCGGACAGAGTACAATAGCTCTCCCCATTCTTTAAATAGTTGTTCTAATAAAATGTCATCAAAAGAAAAAATTACATCACATGTTTAAATGTTTACATCAAACTAGATGATTAATACAATACTTGGATCAAGAAATACTTGCTTACTTCAGCTTTGGCACTTAATAAATCCTGTTGCTATTTTAAACCATTGCAACATTATATTATGTGTGAGGGTTAGTATTTTTAAATATGAAGAGATTTGTTTAAGTGTTCATTGATTGCTTATCCTTTTAACTGCTGAATTTCATAAATTTAAATGGACTTCCCTTATCAATTTTAGGGATATGTAGATTAAGAATAAGAAATAAAGTCAGCCAATAGAACAGACCCTTATTTAGACAGCACCCAAGTTCAGGCTAGCCTGAATCTATACAGGTGTCACTTCTGGTTTCAGAAGGTTAAAAGTTATAAAATCTTCAACCTACTATTGTAGTTACAGTTTTCCTCATCCAAACCATCCGGGCAGTCATCATCAAAATCACATTTCCAACTTAAATTGATACATCTGCCATCACGACATTTAAACTTGTCTACAGGACATGAGGGATATGCTGTCAAAATAGATATATATAAAAATTTAATCCACAATATGCTGTCAAAACAGATATTATATAAACATTTTATTCATGATATGCTGTCAAAACAGATATGTAAACATTTTATCCATGATATGCTGTCAATACAGATATATAAACACTTCATCAATGATATGCTGTCAAAACAGATATATAAACATTTTATCCATGATCTGCTGTCAAAACAGATATATAACATTTAATCTCTGATATGCTGTCAAAACAGATATATAAACACTTCATCCATGATCTGCTGTCAAAACAGATATATAAACATTTTATCCATGATCTGCTGTCAAAACAGATATATTAACATTTATCCATGAAATACTGTCATAACAGATATATAAACATTTAATAAGTAAAGAAATAAGAAGTAACATCTGTATGTAAACCCCAACATGTCATCTTATTCATGTCAACACTAGCAAATAATCATTTCAACACAAAATCTCTGTCTCAAGATAATAAATAATTTATCAAATTATGTATAAGCTGTCCTTTAATCCTTTTTCTTTCCTTATTTTAAAACATTTTCACTATCGTTTTTTTTTTTTCTAGAACATATTATTAGAACGGAAAATAAACTGAATGCCTCAACTTAAACTTTCCTACTTGAACCATTATGGTTCTATCTATCCTAAAGAAAAACCTGTATAAAATGGTAAATTCTAATAAGACCCCCATTTTTCCCTATTGTAAATACAAGGACCGAAAGTGTGTGTTATTATGCAATCAAATCACTGTTGACATTCTATATTTAGACATACATGTATGGTGTAAACATTTAACATATAACATAACCATTAAAAATGTGACATGCTGAAAATAAGTATGGAAACAAATCAAGTGCTTTTAAGATTGATACCAGGTAAAGCAGCATTTATTTGTTGATGTCATGTTAGAATAGAAAAAATCTATCCGAATCGATGATTTTATGGCTAAATAAAATCACTGTTTATCATTTGGATGCACATTATTATATCACTGTTTTGGATATATTATTTCTAAAACTACATCATGAAAAACTTACAACAGTGCATCTCATCGGAATTATCGGTACAGTCATTATCAAAGTCACATATCCAGTCTTCAGGAATACAACGTCCATTATCGCAGGTGAAATGACCGTCGGAGCATGTCTGGAATTCTGTGAGAAAAAAAAAATTGTATTTCCATCCTTTATTGGCATTGGTAGTTCAAGATACAAAAGAATTCAAACAAAAGGCAATAATTGTGCAAATTGCTAGTCAGAACTGAAATTGTAAACAGGAAATGCACAACTTTTTAAGAAGTATAAAAGCACACCTGCAGATTTTTGTGCTTAATATAAATGTAAATTTTAGTATTATTGCAAGAAAACTTTCATGTAAAAAGTGCACAGCACCAGACAATGAATTAAACATTATGTACATAAAATAATATATGAATTACCACAATCATGTTCATCACTCATATCACCGCAGTCATTGTCACGATCGCACATGTAAGAATTTGGTATACAATGTCCGTTGTCGCATAAAAACTGATTGTCAGTACAGTTTGTCTTTAACTTCACACATGCACCAGAAGTAACATTTACTACAGCTTTACCCTGGCAACAATGTTCATCCTCCTGTGTGGTGGAGGTGCGGATAAGTGTAGCATTATTCGGACACCGGCATGTGCGATTTTGGCCATGTACGTCAGCAGTTGATGGTTTCAGGAGACAAAGGTGAGTACATTCTCCATTATGGTCACATGCTGCATTACCACCTTAAAATACAAAACATTCATGCTTATTAAACCCAATTAAAATGCTGTTATGGCCTCATTGCTAAACTATCTTTTGCTGATTTTAGTTTTTGGCCTTTTGTGAATTAGCACTTTTATACCATTATACCATTTTGAAAATGTGACTCATAAGGTTATCTGAGTACCACATAGGATATCTGGATACCATTATGATATTTTAACATATAGGGTATCTGGTTACCATTTGGAAACTGCATCTGGATCCAATTTGAAAATTGTAACATATAGGGTATCTGGATATCATTTGGAAACTGCATCTGGATCCAATTTGAAAATTGTAACATATAGGGTATCTGGATATTATTTGGAAACTGCATCTGGATCCAATTTGAAAATTGTAACATATAGGGTATCTGGATATCATTTGGAAACTGCATCTGGATCCAATTTGAAAATTGTAACATATAGGGTATCTGGATATCATTTGGAAACTGCATCTGGATCCAATTTGAAAATTGTAACATATAGGGTATCTGGATATCATTTGGAAACTGCATCTGGATCCAATTTGAAAATTGTAACATATAGGGTATCTGGTTACCATTTGGAAACTGCATCTGGATCCAATTTGAAAATTGTAACACATACGGTATCTGGATATCATTTGGCAACTGCATCACATAGGGTATATGGATACCATTTAGAATCTGCAACACATAGCGTATCTGTATACCATTTGTATTTCTTATACCTTGCTGAATTTGCATAATATCAAAATACTGACATTTAGCATACTTTAAGCATGTTCAGTTTCAGCAATTTGAAGGTAAAGACAATAAATGCATGTTACCTCTCTGTGAGTTCTCATCTAGGATTTTTAGGTCAATGATTCCATCATTGATATCTTGATATCTGTACACACAGTTTGAAACGTCACAGCTATATAATCGAGACATTGTATACTCCGCCCAATACACTTTCTCCTGATAATGAAAATATATTATATATACTGTTAATTATATATTTTTTCTCAATTCTTTAAGCCAATACAATCACTCCTAGTTACAGAAAATATTGATTTATTTACATATATCTATTTTTCCTTAATTTTTTCAAAAACACAAATTCTCTGCCATTCAAATAGAATATTTCATAAATATATATTATATTCCTCGCAATCCTGTAAACAATAAACATTATCTATTCAGTAAAAGCTATTACAGCACTAGATTGCATACCAGAATTGTTGTTTTAGTAATGACAAGGACAGAAGTTAAAAATGTCAAAAACCTAAAAACCCTGAATCAAGTACTATTTTCATTAATTTTATACAGAGAAAAAGAACTTTTCAGAGTTTTTAAATCCTGAAATTCTGGAATAGTTAATAGGCTGACATTTTCACAACTAAGCATTCACACTTTTTAAATTCATTTTGGCATTAACAACTAGCTTTTTCTATATTACGACTGTATTATGGTTTTAAATTTGAAACGCTCCATTGAAATTCCAAAAACTGTAAAAGGAGTGTAAAATCTAATCCTTCAGCTTAGATCGCCTGATTAGCTCAACAAGAAGAGCTTTCATCTGTACCCTGTGAATCGTGCAGTACAGGTTCAATTTCCAAATGGTTTAGGTCACTTCTGTTGAGATTGATCATGAAATCCTTTCTAGGATCATTCGCACTGTACCTCAGCTCTGGCAGAAGTTATCAGTTCCTAGCAAAGGTGAAGGAAAATAGTACTGGTTTACTAGTTGACCAGGAACAATGTGGTGGCTGAACTATGCTCTTGTAAATTTAATATCACTTACTGCCATGATTCGGAGTGAAAATTACCAACACTACCATACACATATCATTATCACAACTTGCAGACAGAGGGTTAACAAAGCAAATAACAAATTACCTTGTAAATCCCTAAGGCATCAATGTGAAACCATCCTAGAGAATTTCCCACTGAGGTGACCACTGGGTTCCTTAAAGAGGCATATCTGATTCCAGCACCACTCCAGAAGATTCTTTCAGTGAGTATATCTAGAGCCAAGACAGTGTCTGAACCTATAGTACTGTGACTGAGAAACGTCGTGATAGAAGAGTGTGTGCCGTCCATATAGGCTTTCATTAACTTTCCACTGTCTGCCCAATACATCCACCTGTTTTATAACAAAGAAAATATCATTAAAATCAGAGAGTATCAAGTAAACACCTTTTTGGGCAGAAAGGGTGAGGGAGGATAGTTGGGTTGGTTGGCATAAAAAAAGAAGGTGATTTGAGGTCACTGACTTGAACCACTCTGCCTATTAAAGTCCTTTTTTCATCCCAACCCTTATCCTGCTGAACTTTCTTAATTAACATTTCCAACTTCCATTTTTGGAACTGTCCATGATCAGTTTTGGGGATATTAAGATGAAAATAACATTTGAGCCGCGTCATGACAAAACCAACACAATGGGTTTGCTACCAGCATGGATCCAGACCAGCCTGCGCATCCACGCAGTCTTATCAGGATCCATGCTGTTCCCTATCAGATTCTCTACTTGTTATAGGGTTTGTAAGCGAACAGCATGGATCCTGAACAGACTGCACGGATGCGCAGGCTGGTCTGGATCCATGCTGGTCGCAAACCCATTATGTTGGTTTTGTCATGACGCGGCTCATTTATAGAAACTGATCCCTGAAGTCTAGACTGGCTCTATTTCAGTGACAAAGGCTAATCACTTTCGGTTCCAGCAGGGTAAATGCTACATTATTATTTATGAGATCACTGATCACCAAACCAATATACAGCAAAAACATCTTATATCTGGTTTACAGACCAATAGCTAGTACATACAAGTAAAGCATTAAATATCAAACTTACTTAACAACTTGCAACAACTCAAAATGTCAAGAAAGTTAAATAGACTTGAGGGTACATGCAGATAAACAAGAGCTGTCAGTGAAACAGCATGTTTGACTATTCCCAGAGCTTGATAGTAAAACAAGAGCCTGGATCATATAGAATTTTCTAAGTTCAAAAAAGGGCCAAATTCTGTCAAAATCTATGTAAAAGTTCTGTCAAAATCTATGTAAAAGTTATGGACCTTAATCAGTGACCACCTATTATGCTCTCAAATAAGTGTTTGATGAAGTTTCAAACAATATCCTATAGTGGTTTTGAAAACATCAACTTGGATGCAATAAACTTAACCAAAGTGTGAAGGTGGAACCAATGCCAACATCCACACAGATGCCTAAGTGAGAACTATAGCTCTCGCTTTTTTTCAAATATGAAATTTTTTCAAAAACAGCTTATATTAAGTTTTTTTGATGCATATGATAAGAACATGTAATACACATTTTACTTGAAACTTAAATGCCTTTTGAGCTCCATACCCAAAGTGTGTGTGGCATAAAAAAACTACTCCTCTGTTCATTGTTAGTTCATCTAACCCTCTTAAATTGTATACAGTACAGATATCGAGGAATATGCAAAATCCTCCGAGGATCGAGGAAAGTACTCGCAACTCCGCGAGAGTATTTGTCCATAAAAACGAGTGACTCCGCGTGAGAAACGTGTGATGAGAGTGACTCCGAGACGAAAATAAAAGCGCGTGACTCCGAGAGAGAATTACCGCGTAACTCCGTGTCGGTGTCTAGCTGGTGTAAATAAATGCAAGTGCAATCTCATTTTATATTTAATTTAATTCTTTAGATTACCATTCGAAAATAAAGATGATTTTTACGGTTGTTGTTTTCAATTTACCCTGAAACAGTTGAAAGGTACATTTGATTAGAAAAAATCACTACCGTAAGCGTCATCAGTTCTCAAGTTTATTTTTATCCCGATTAATTAGGTCAGTAGCAATAACCACAGGAACCCGAAATTCTATCAAAAACAAAAAGCGATTTAAAAAATCCATATAATAACGGCCCAACATTTTTTATACTTCTTTAAGAAATGAATTAATTATATAAACTTCTTAATCTTAAATGTTTCTATATGCATCAAATACCGATAACGTGCCGTTCTAATTTATTTCAGGTGCCAAATATTGTGTTGTGTTTATTTTTTTTCAATGTGGAAAATGAGTTTCGATCTTCATAATATTTTAATCATTGATAACATGTGCACATCAAAAAAATTGACTTTCCCAACTTTTAGTATTGGTTTGTATAGTTTTAAAAATTGTCATAATGTGCATGTACGTTTCTTCATAATCCATTGTTCACATGTATTTTAGTTACGTGTCAACCTGTCACATCCGCCGTTTTAATTAGAAGACACTTGATTTATATATAATTTTTGAGAATTAACATTAACTTAATCGTTTCTAAATAAAGCTGCATAAAAATTAGTAATATATTGTTGTAATTTTATTCCAAGAGTATCTCCGAAAATCTGTCGGTCTCATTCTGTTATCAAAGTCATATGTAGACGTATGTCGATATTGATATCAAAAGTCAGTTGTCTTGTGATGATCATTAATAAATTAAGATTTTTGTTTTTTATTTCAGGCATTATAGAGGAATTCAAGAGTTATAGAGGTGTTAACAAGTTGACAGAGGCCGTTCAACTTACCTAGCGCACTGCTCCCGTAATTCATTCACCTGTAATCAGCATTACACAGATTGACAAAAAATAAAAACAGCAAAGAATAAAATGATCATTTTATTTGTCTTTTTGTTTTATTTGTTTATGGTTTGTACATCATCTATATCATGTCATTTTATAAAAATAAAAAAACAGTTTTGACAAAGATTAAACTACTTCCGATTTCACGTACATGTACTGTTCATAGACGATAAAACAATATTTTTATAATAGCATATGAACATATTTGATCGTCACAGCAAGCGGGCATGCGTTGTACATGTACGTATGTGGATTGAAAAAGACCGCCATGCCTTTAAAAAATCACTGCCAATCTCAATGTTCTTGTTTTATAATTCATGGTTTTATTTTTGAGACGACGCAACACCTGTTGTTTTCCCCCTGCAAACATCGGTAGAATTTCATAAATGAATTCCTTAATGTTGTCCTTTCTTGTGCTGCCAACATCGGTAGAATTGCCTAGCAGATCGAACTTCTTAACTCTGTTCTATATTGTTCTGAAAGCAATAGTAAAATAAATTTAAACATTAATGTTAAAAGCAGGACTGTACATGCCAACATAGGGTGTCGCTGTTTTGGCTAGTGCATTGTATGGAATGATGTATTATATCTCGTATTTCACGGATTTTTTATCAACCAACAATTAAAAGGAGACGTACATGTACATCACATGGAAATCAGTTTGGTATCATTTATGTAACTGGTACAAATTTATCTAAAAGCCTGACTTAAAAGTATAAAATTACTTTCCAAGGCAGATGCATTTCACTGAAGAATACTTTGTAAACTGTCTTAAAGAAAATGTTGTTTTTTTTATTCAGTTCAGGTACAAAGTATAATAATTTCCCTTACGATAGTATGTCAATGGAATGAATCGACCTAAGCACGTGGTTGTTTTGCCATGTATTTCCTTTTTTTTTTCTTCTTCTTTTTTTTGCTTACATAATAATTATAAATTTGTATAAACAATGCAAAAAAGAAGCTCATCTATATTTTCTTATTTTAGAATACTAAATTAAATAGGTTTTTGACACTGAGCGTTACGGGAATTACGGGAAATCATCGGTTATTCTTTCCTTTAATTAATTAATGAATCAAGTGTGTCTACTTTCGTTTTCACTTGTGATACTTTACATCAACGAAGAATTTTCGACAACATTGTTATTTTGAATGAATAATACATGCGTTGAAGGATTTTATTTTAGAGGTAGAGCATTATATTAATTAATAAATAAATAAAGCATACGTGTACCAAATCAGTCTTATTTTCTCGGAGTCACTCTTTTTGACTCGGAGATTCACGGAGTCCCGCGGACAAAATTGTCACTCGTTTTTGTCTCGGAGTCACTCTTTTTCACCCGAGAAATTTATAATCCACTCGGAGTCACGCTTTTTGAGATTACTCGATACTCGCAGAAATTTGCATATTCCTCGATATCTGTACTGTATGTATATAAAAATAACTTGATATAAATACTTAAAACCAGAATTCATTAACAGAAATTAAATGTGGGAGTAAAATCATACCCGTGATGGGGATCTATTACAAGAGATGTTGGCTTTATCAGATAACTGCCATTGATTAATGTTCGTCTGTAAATTCCATTAGCTTTCGACACCTCGATGGTGCCATTGGTGGGGAACTTCCTGTCGATCCAGTACAAGTTGTGACCTTTCCAGTCGTAAGCTATGGACGGAACTTCTCCGATTCCCGAATGTAACATTTCCACGCTATGGTTACCATCTTCACACAGTCGCTAATGTCAAATTAAAGGATAAAGTTTCAGTGATAAAATTTATTCTCATTAAAATTTTAGTCATAATATCCCAGTCACCCAATTGAATAAAATGTTGGTCACTTGTATAAAATGTTGCTTACTTAAACATAGTGTTGGTCACCTGAATATAATATCGGTCTAGGTAAACATATCAGAAAAGAACGATCCAACCCTGATATTAACTAAGTTTGGTGAGATTCCTGCAAGGCTTTTCAATTTAGGTTAATTTGCTCTATAAAATTGTTCAACCCTATGAAGCAGACGGAGCGAATGATCTGAAATTATGTACACAAGTTATTGATAAGAAAAAAAAACAATATTTTCGGTCCCTTCATGTCAAAATACCTCAGTGGATACCTTTTAATGTTAAACTTGTACCTGTATTTTATGTAGCTCATTATCAGCCCAATACAGACATCCTGTTTCACCAAGCTGGTAATCTACTGCAGACACATTCTTTGCTATGGTGGAATCGAGAAGTTTGACGTCATTTTGGCTAGAGGACAATATTTTCTGAAGCACCTCTCTTCTTGATGAATATAGCAAAAATTCTTCTATATCTGAATTAGATACAGAACAAAATGCTTAGATTCTACAGAAATGTGAGATATTTTTCAAATCTTTTAATCTACAGTACTATGAAATATAATTCATATCTTTTAATCCTCAGAACTATGAAATATTATTCACATCTTTTAATCTACAGAACTATGAGATATTTTTCAAATCTTTTAATCTCCAGTACTATGAAATATTATTCACATCTTTTAATCTACAGAACTAAGAGATATTTTTCATATCTTTTAATCTCCAGTACTATGAAATATAATTCATATCTTTTAATCTACAGTACTACCAAATATTTTTCATATCTTTAAATCTACAGAACTATGAAATATTATTCATATCTTTTAATCGACAGATCTATGAAATATTATTCATATCTTTTAATGAGACTTGCTCACTCTTTATCATCTATTTCGTTCTTTATGAAACTTGAAAAATTTCAGCACATGGTATTTTGAAAATGTCTAAAGCTTTTAACTATCTGATTAATCTGGCATATCTACCTTTTTAAAGATAATTTGAAATAGCAAGAAGTTATTGTTATCTCTTTGAGTATTGTATAAGTGGATATTTTCACATATCAATAAGTAAGCTAATTCAAAATTCCAGACATATCGCTTGACAAAATATAAGCCAATCATGCAAGGGTAAAATCTAATGACAGGTTGGTTGATATTTACGCTAGAGAAAATTTTAGCGATTTTCGTTGATTCTCTAAATTCACCAATATTTTTATGTTATAAAACTTAACCACTTATACAGTATTAATCTTTTATTATCACACCTGCTCTTTAAAACTGATAGAACCAATATCAGTACTCTTGATCGAATTGTTTAAAAAACCTCAGTGTAAAAAAATATTCTACCATTATACAGCAGACAATTAAGCAACCTACCTTGAGCTCTGCAAGCATACATTAGAGGGGCATATCTGTGTTCCTCGCCACCCTGGCATGTGTCACCTGAAACCTTAGCAAAGCCACGAGTGTATGGGTAAAATGTGCCTTCAGGGCATACACTAGGCATGCGGTGGATAATGTTCTGATCTACATCTGGGTCTGGAATACATCCAACACTGAAATACTCGGAATTTGGTTTGTAGCCAAAGTCACTGAAATAGAAAAATAAGAGAGAAATGTCGGTAATTACCAAAAGTTATATTAATTTATTGTAGACATATGTTTTCTGATGATAATATGGTGAGTTTCAAATGAAGAAATATGAACATCAAGCCAGATTTCTAGATTTCATACTCTATACTGCTTGCATCATTACGTTAACAAAGAAAGTTTATTATAAAAGAAGAATCACACGGCAGTATAGCTAGAGTTGATTGTGTAATATTGTTTAGGTAAAAGAAATGTAATTTATGTTAACATGTCAACAAAATAACAAACACAATAACTCACCATTCAAAATCTTCCCTCGTACATGAACAGTTTCGTACAGTCATTTCCCGATTGTAATCTTTACCGTTGTAGCAATTAGAATGTGGTACACGTCTTTCAATCATAACTTTACGGCCCAGTAAACAACCTTAAATATAATACATGTTAATACAGTTCTCTAAGGAAAAAAACTTTTACATTGGCTTAGGCTTCATCCTTTAACCAAATGAATTTCTTACTTCCATCTTTTGAACATTCCATTATCAATTAACTTTAGGGATAGCAATACTAAAATATGAAGTTAGTCAGCCAACAGAAAAAATCCTTGTCAGGCTGAACTGGCTCCTTACTAGAACATGTCAAAGCAAAAGCTAATCTCTCATAACCAGATACAAAATGAATAAACTTAAAAACATTAAATTAAAATTTTGATCTCTCATGATATTCATCACAGAAGACTTTGGTGTCAGTTGTGGAATCAAGAACAGGATCAAATCTAGGACACCAGATGATATTTTTTCTTACAATATCTATCTAATGACCTGAATTTCAGTAGATTATATGAAGATTTGTGAATTAAATTTTTAAAAGTGTTACAGATAATTATATACCAACCTAAGAAAGGTGTGTGGTTCGGTAAAGACCACACGTTGTCCGGTAAAGACCACATCTTGTAATCTTGAGCACTGCATTTATATTCTGAAATAAACAAACATAAATTATTTATCATGGCTGAAACATCATTTAGGACAAAAATCTAATTCAACTCTGTGTAACATAGTAACATTACTAACACAAGAGCTGCTAGATGGGCAACCTGCTAGATTTATATTTGTACTAGAATAAAAGCCTTGATAATGTAGGAATTTTATAAGTTAACAATGGGGAATAATTCAGTAAAAGCTAATGTTAAAGTTATTTGTCTTTATTAGCAACAAGAAATACCAGATATTAAAGTGAATACAGTAAAATTCTTATTAAACACCCCTCTCCCACAAACCCCTTAGTTTTTTTGATAAGGAAGAGTAAATCTATAATTTATTCAAATCCTTCAGAATACCTTTTATTTTATAGTAAACTCAAAAATGTATCATATAAAATTTAACACTTTTTAAACATTATTAAGAAAACTTACATAACACCAAACATAATTACAATCATTTTTGTTTTTAGGAAAAAGGATTTATTCTTAAATGCCCCCCCCCCCCAGGTGTTTGATAGGAATTTTACGGTACCTTTAATTGGTTGACCAGATACAAAGTTGCATGCAATAACAATGGTGAGTGGTATAGCCCCATTTTTCCAATTTAGGCTAAAAATTACTCTGCAATCTTTTATTTTTCTTCCTCAGCTAAATTTTTTGTCTAAAGTATTATATCCCGGGTTGCGTCAGTAAATCTTGCATAATAAATTTGAGTTGTAGCATAGTTCTATTTGACCTTAATGGTTGTGTTACCCATGAAATGAAAAAAAATCTTGGATATTTTTTTTGGACCATAATCATTTTACCTGTAAAATTATGCAAAATTAAATAAATATGACAAAGTGGGGAAAAACAGTAATTTGTTAAAGTTCACTTATTTTACTTACGGAAAACTGAGCTCAAATTAAGGGAGATAACTATCCATGAATGATGATCAAGGTTTGAACCAAATAAAAAGAAGACTGTAGTTTTCTCCCCTGGTTCTGTAAGTAAACCATGAATCTGTATAGGGTGATCAGTGAAGTTGTATGTGTGAAAAACTTGCCCTTCATCTGTCGAGTAACTGAAAAAAAATCATAATATCTGGATTAAACATTAAATTAAAAAGAGCTTTTACAGGTTACATTGTACATGCATGCTATTGAAACTAATGACCTGAGCTGGTTGATATGAAACATTAAACATTCAAACAGTTATTGTAAACTAGAACTGCCACTATCATGGTGTGAATACCCCCGCATACCACTTTGTCATAATCAACAGTGGCCATTAAGAGCTCAAGGAAAACCTCCCTGCCAAATCTGAGGTTACTAAGCCAGTGCATTGCTAAGTTATGTATTCTACATGCTTCAAATGTGAAAAAGTCAAAATCAATACATTGCGGACAGGACATTCTTTAGCAATTGAGAAGAAAAGCTTTTGTCAAAGTCCCTGTGACCTTGACCTTTGACCCAGTGACCTCAAAATCAATAGGGGTCACCTTATAGTCATGATTAACATCCATGCCAAATAAGAAGACTGTGGGTCAAAGGAATCTTAAGTTAATGGGTGGACAAACTTTTTGAAGTCAAAGTCCCTATGACCTTGACCTTTGATCCAGTGACCTCAAAATCAATAGGGGTCATCTACTAATCATGACTAACCTTCATGCCAGATATGAAGACTGTGGGTCAAAGGAATCTTAAGTTATAGGGCGGACAAGCTTTTTGAAGTCAAGGCCCCTGTGACCTTGACCTTTGACCTGGTGACCTCAAAGTCAATAGGGGTCATCTACTCATCATGACTAACCTCCATGCCAAATATGAAGACTGTGGGTCAAAGGAATCTTAAGTTATTGGGCGGACAAGCTTTTTGAAGTCAAGGCCCCTGTGACCTTGACCTTTGACCTGGTGACCTCAAAATCAATAGGGGTCATCTACTCATCATGACTAACCTCCATGCCAAATATGAAGACTGTGGGTCAAAGGAATCTTAAGTTATTGGGCGGACAAGCTTTTTGAAGTCAAGGCCCCTGTGACCTTGACCTTTGACCTGGTGACCTCAAAATCAATAGGGGTCATCTACTCATCATGACTAACCTCCATGCCAAATATGAAGACTGTGGGTCAAAGGAATCTTAAGTTATTGGGCGGACAAGCTTTTTGAAGTCAAGGCCCCTGTGACCTTGACCTTTGACCTGGTGACCTCAAAATCAATAGGGGTCATCTACTCATCATGACTTACCTCCATGCCAAATATGAAGACTGTGGGTCAAAGGAATCTTAAGTTATTGGGCGGACAAGCTTTTTGAAGTCAAGGCCCCTGTGACCTTGACCTTTGACCTGGTGACCTCAAAATCAATAGGGGTCATCTACTAATCATGACTTACCTCCATGCCAAATATGAAGACTATGGGTCAAAGGAATCTTAAGTTATTGGGCGGACAAGCTTTTTGAAGTCAAGGCCCCTGTGACCTTGACCTTTGACCTGGTGACCTCAAAATCAATAGGGGTCATCTACTAATCATGACTTACCTCCATGCCAAATATGAAGACTGTGGGTCAAAGGAATCTTAAGTTATTGGGCGGACAAGCTTTTTGAAGTCAAGGCCCCTGTGACCTTGACCTTTGACCTGGTGACCTCAAAATCAATAGGGGTCATCTACTAATCATGACTAACCTCCATGCCAAATATGAAGACTGTAGGTCAAAGGAATCTTAAGTTATTGGGCGGACAAGAAAAAACCGACGGACGGACGGCCGGACGGACAGACAAGCTGATTCCAGTATACCCCCCTTACAACTTTGTTGTGCGGGGGTATAAATATTTTGTCTTCAGAAATTTACCAGTACAAAACATCAACAAAAGGAAGCATGTTGAAAAATCTAAATTTCAAAAAGTAATGTTTAACAAATAAATTAACAATATTACTTTTGAGGTTTAGTTTTTTAAATATTTCTTTCATTTAAACAAATCATTAAATATGCTACATTCAAAATTCATCACCTTAGTGCAGTAACAGGTTAAGTCTTTCTAAATTTTAAGGAGTTAACCAGTTATTGCATTAAGGTGAAGAAATGACTACAAAATTTCTGAAATTTAACAACAAAAAATTGAAACAATAAGCCATTGATTCTCAATATGGTGACAAAGGGAGATAATGTCCTCTAGTTAAACAAGAGTGATCAGTGATCACATGTGTTGCCTCATGATGGCCAATTCCATGTTGGGACAAGTTTTGTGACAGATGGACAGACAGACAGTGCACAACTACACTTGGTACTGATCATTCCTGTAAAGTTTGGATAAAATTGCACCAGTAGTTTATGAGGAGTAGTCCGGACAAGCTTTTGTGTATCTGGCAACACACAGAAAAAACACCTTTTTATCAAAAGGGCCATAACTCGGCCAAAAATCATTCAACCGGAAAACCCATGCAATATGCGCAAGGACTTGAGCTACAGATCAATTCTGTAAAGTTTCATTGAAATTGCATAAGTGGTATAAGAGAAGTAGACAAACTTGAAAAATAAAAATTATTAAAGGGCCATAACTCAGACAAAATCATTGAACCTGAAAATGCTGACAATATGCACAACTACTGGTACTGATCATTCCTGTAAAGTTTGGATAAAATTGCACCAGTAGTTTATGAGGAGTAGTCCAGACAAGCTTTTGTGTATCTGGCAACACACAGAAAACTAGAAATGTGTCCATAGGACACGGATGCCCCCACACGCCACTGTTCTGTCAATCTTATGACTCTAGGTCAAAAATTTTTTGGACTACATGTGCCAAAAGTTGAAAACTAAAAATCAACAAAGGGCCATAATTCTGTTAAATTTGGTTGCAGATAAAATTCCTTCCTTTACTGCCATCTACACATTAAGGTTGTTCATCCCTGGAAGTTTAAGCAAAATCTGCCGTCCGGTTTAAAAGGAGTTGCATTCACAAAATTTCTACATAGTATATAGTGAAAAAATCAACAAAGGGCCATAATTCTGTTAAATTTGGTCGCAGCAAAAATTCCTTCCTTTACTACCATCTACACATTAAGGTTGTCCATCCCTGTAAGTTTAAGCAAAATCTGCCGTCCGGTTTAAGAGGAGTTGCGTTCACAAAATTTCTACATAGAATCTAGTGAAAAAATCAACAAAGGGCCATAATTCTGTTAAATTTTAAATTTGGTCGCAGCAAAAATTCCTTCCTTTACTACCATCTACACATTAAGGTTGTTCATCCCTGTAAGTTTAAGCAAAATCTGCCTTTAGGTTTAAGAGGAGTTGCGTTCACAAAATTTCTACATAGTATCTAGTGAAAAAATCAACAAAGGGCCATAATTCTGTTAAATTTGGTCGCAGCAAAAATTCCTTCCTTTACTACCATCTACACATTAAGGTTGTTCATCCCTGTAAGTTTAAGCAAAATCTGCCATTCGGTTTAAGAGGAGTTGCGTTCACAAGATTTCGGGACGTACGGACGGACTGACGGACGGACTGACGGAATGACGGACGGACGGACAAGTGCAACGCTATATGCTCCCACATTGTGGGGGCATAAAAACTACTTTTTATCAAAGGGCCATAACTTGGCCAAAAATCATTCAACCGGAAAACCCGTGCAATATGCGCAAGGACTTGAGCTACAGATCAATCCTGTAAAGTTTCATTGAAATTGCATTAGTCGTATAAGAGAAGTAGTCCGGACAAACTTTAAAAATTAAAATTATTTAAGGGCCATAACTCAGACAAAAATCATTGAACTGGAAAATGCTGACATTATGCACAACTAGACTTGGTACTGATAATTCCTGTAAAGTTTGAATGAAATTGCACCAGTAGTTTATGAGAAGTAGTCCGGACAAGTTTTGTGACGGACGGACAGACGGACGTACCAATTTTTCAGGTTTATGAGCTATTTCTATTGTTCTTTTCTTTTGTTTCCTTGTGGCCTAACTATTGTTTCCTTATGAGCCCTACTATTATTTACGGAATAAAGTCCTTTGTTCTCTTTTGTCCCAGTGTACCGTTAGTTAGCTCATATACCTAAAATGTTTGTGCGGACAGACAGACAGACGACGGAGAAGTGATCCCTATATGTCGCCACTACTCCGTAGAGGCGACACAAAAAGTATCTATATTTAGAACACTCACCTAATCTGATTGGTTGGTTCATATTGTTTCACTGCCAGTATGATTCCTCCATGGTCAGCTAATGCAAAGAAGTGCACCCCTTGTAAAACCTGTAAACAAATAAAACAAATTTTATTGGTTGGTATATCAAATCACATCAACACTTGCAAATATGCAGCAGAAGTGTAGATCAAAACTTCTCCCAGATCAAAGTTCTTGAAGGCTTTTGTCCATTATGCCATTATTGATGAGAGGGCTTTTGTCTTCCAGGAGGGATTTGTATTCAGGAGGGCTTTTGTCTTGGAGGGTGTGAGGATGTGATCGTGAATAAAACTAGGCGTTGTGTACGGTTCGTTTCCTTTATTCAAACTGAATGTTTACATACATAGGAAATGACGTTACGTTAAAAACATAAGTAAACAATTCGCGCAAAAGCGACGTTACGTGACGTCGCGCCAAAATCTACAACATTCTCCGGGCCTCAGAAATGCTAAATGTAATAATCGTCATACAAAAACATAAAAGTAATGGAATTACTTATTTAAAATCATATTGAAATTGAAGCACCATAATTAAAACAGCTATATTTAGATATATCACAAACAGATTGGCGCTATGTAAAGTCTCGTTTTGAATTATTTTCACTCGTCTATGTTTATACAAATTGAATTGTCTTTTCACGAAATATTAGCGGTATAGGATAAATATTTCAATAAGTATCGTAATGTCTATTCATCTGGTTTCTGGATAATTTCCAATGGGTACAATTTGATAATCGGGTCGTGTAGTCAGCCCTCCGGATGTACGTATCCTCGCGGCCCTCGAAAAAACCCGTCATTTCCCGTTAAAAGTTCATCAACTACCGCAAGGCTCCACTGTAGCCTGGGTGTAAAGTCGTCTTGGACAATAACAACGTCACCAACCTGAATAGTCTGGTTTGTGGTACCACTCGACGTTGGTATTCTCTTAATGACGTCAGATACTCGTGTTTCCAGCGGTGCCAATAGTGATTAATTAACTCCTCACGTCGTTTAGCACGTTGTCGAACATCGTCACCTTTTTTGCTGTGGTAACCGGAGTATCGTTGGTTACCACAGTATCGTAGAATGGTAGAGTTGTCAGTCTGCGTCCATGTAGTAAGTGTGAAGGGGTGAGAGGCTCTGGATCATCTCTAGCAGATGAAACGTAGGATAATTGGTCGATCGTTCATCATTGCCTCTACTTCGGTAAACTATCGTCTGCAGCGTTTTGCAAATTAATGGAAGCTTTGCCGAGAGAACTTTCTTAATCGCTGTTTTCATTACACCAATTTAGTCGCTCCCACATTCCACCATACCAAGGTGCTCTTTTTGGAAAATAAAACTGCCAGTTTGTGTTCCTCTATGTGTAAGGGCAGTATGAAGATTTTGCGAATTATAGAGTCGCCGGATTTGATTGGCTGCTGCATGAAAAGTGGTACCATTATCAGATATCATCAGTCTTGGTAAATGAATCGTCTGCTGATGAATCGTCTGAAGGCTAACATAAAATGATTCTTCTGTAAGGTCTGGAACTATTTCTAGATGAATAGCACGGGTTTTGGCACACGTGAATAGACATATGTATACCTTCTGCTGAACTTGCTTTTCTTTAATGTAAAGTGCCCCTGTGAAATCGACACCTGTTACGGAGAAGGGTGGTTCGACGATTACTCTGGAAAACCGGAAGTGTGGGGGGGTCTGGGGCGGTATAGGGTCTTCCTGTAACTTTTCTTACAAAATGACACATCTTCGGAGAACACTTTTCACGTGCTGTCTGATTGATGGTATCCAGTATTTCTGGCGTAGATGGGTAACAGTATGGGCGACACCTGCATGTAATTGAATGTAATGAGCGTCTTCTATTATCAGTCTGGTGACATGACTCTTTGGGGACATAAGGAACGGGAATCTTGTTGTCTCTGGTAACTGTGCGTTATGTATTCTTCCGCCAAAACGAAAACAACCGTCCTTGTCTAAAATAAAGTCTTAGCTTGTCGAATTATTGGACTGCGTTTTTTCTGGGATTTAAGATCTTGAATTACGTCTGGGAAATATTGTTGTTGGCAAGTTTCAATCAGTTTTCCTTCTGCTAATCTCAGCTCTTCTGTAGATTAATGGACCACTTTTGGCGATAATTTATACGTCACTTTCTGCAGTTTTTTTAATGAAACGTATAAACGTATGCCTTAACACGTAATAAAACTTGTGAAAGCTGCTATATCTGTTTAACTCTAGAATTTGACGTAAACCAGAGTTACCTCTCTTGTCAGATACAATTTCTTCCTCTGAATTTTGTTCCGTCAACGTAGTGAAAGTGATTGCCCGAGTTTGTTCCCAAAAGTAGGCCATTTATTGTTGTGAAATTAACCAAGTAGGTCCATTTTTCCATAATGTGCTTGATTGTAACTTGGTCGCAGTTAAACCTCTGGTTTGTAAATCAGCGGGATTTTGATCTGTTGGACAATATCGCCATTCAATATCGGGGGTAAGTTTCTTGATTTCTTCGACTCTGTTCAAAATGAAGCGTTTAAGTGGTTTTTTGTAGATTTCAGCCAACTTTTAACACTATTTGACTGTCGGACCAACATGTGATTTCTTGCACGTGAATGCATTTTGACACGTTGGTGGGTTACACGTGCACCGATGAGTGCTGCCATCAGTTCTAGTCTGGGTAAAAGTTATCTCTTTTACAGGATGCGACTCTATTCTTTGCAAAATACAAGGGTAGATGTATGACCGGAAGTAAGATACGCTACAGCACCATAAAGCACCTGCACTTGCATCAACAAACACGTGTAAATTAAAATCGGCAGAATTTGCTGTATTTTCAGTGGTGGGAAAATATTGGTCTCTGGAACTTTAAGGTCTGAATTACGCTGTCTCAGGTCGATGCTCAAATGCAGCCCAGGTATGTTAATGATTAAATTAACCGGAAGGTGGTGTTCCCAATCAACATTCTTCTTCCATAGGTCTTGAACTAAGTAATTTTTGCCGCGTACAGTTACTGGGCTAAGCAATCCCATGGGGTCATATAATTTTTGAAGTCATGTTTGAGAATAGAACGTTTGGATTGTTCTCTCAGAGATTTACTACGTGCGCTGTAAAATGACATCTCGTCATTATCCGGGTCCATAACATTCCTAATACCTTGACAACTTTATCCTTGTCCAAGACTTTTTCAGCATACTGCGAGTTCACATAATTTACTGGAGTTTGAAGTTCACGATCGCAGATTTTGAATCCTGCTTCGGACATGAGAGTACGTGCGTACCGGAAATAGGTAAGAAAGATCCTGTTCTTGTTGAAAACTTGAAATTACATTGTCGACATACAGGTCTCTGGTAATTATATTAGCGGCAGGGTTACTTGCATTCAGGGTCATGTGTTTTAGTAATGTAGCATTGAGAACAAGATATGTTTGTAAAACATGTATGCCCCCTATCAGCAGCCAATTAGTCATGTGATAAGGTAATTATGCATGACTTCTGACCCAGTGATCAAACAATTAATAAGGGTTATCAAGTATCTACTGGTCATGACCCCTTAACCTTTGACCCCTTGACCAAAACTCAATAGGGGTCATATGCTGGTCACGACCAATCATCATACAAAGTTTTGAAGGTCCTAGGCCTAAGCGTTTTTAGTTAATGATCGAAAACCGTTTTAACATACAACTCAAATGTGACCTGACCTTTGACCCCTTGACACCAAAATCCATAGTCATCTGCTGAACAATGACCAATCACCATACCATGTTTGAAGTTCCTAGGCCAAAGGGTTCTTAAGTTATTGATTTGAAAGCATTTTTACCTACAAGGTCAATGTGACCTTGCCTTTGACCCCTTAACCCAATATCAATAGGGGTCATCTACTGGTCATGACAAATCACCATACCAAGTTTGAAAGTTCCTAGGCCTAAGGGTTCTTTAGTTATCACTCGGAAACCATTTTTACCCAAGAGGTCAATGTGACCTTGACTTTGACCCCTTGACCCCAAATTCAATAGGGGTCATCTACTGATCAATGAACAATCACCATATCAAGTTTGAAGTCCTTAGGCCTAAGGGTTCTTTCGTTATTGATTGGAAACCGTTTTTTACCTACAAAGTCAATGTTTACCTGACCTTTGACCCCTTAACCCAAAAATCAATAGGGTCATCTGCTGGTCATGACAATCACCATACCAAGTTGTGAAGTTCCTAGGCCTAAGGGTTCTTTAGTTATTGATCGGAAATCGTTTTTACTACAAGGTCAATGTGACCTTGACCTTTGACCCCTTAACCCCAAAATCAATAGGGGTCATCTGCTGGTCATGACCAATCACCATATTAACCAAGTTTGAAGTTCCTAGGCCTAAGGGTTCTTTTTGTTATTGATCAGAAACCGTTTTTGAACCCAAGAGGTCAATGTGACCTTGACCTTATGACCCCTTGACCCCAAAATCAATAGGGGTCATCTACTGATTCATGACCAATCACCATACCAAGTTTGAAGTTCCTAGGCCTTAAAGTTTCTTTAGTTATTGATCAGAAACCGTTATTGCTTACAAGGTCAATGTGATCTTGGACCTTTGACCCTTGACCCCAAAATCAATATGGGTCATCTACTGATCATGACCAATCACCATCCCAAGTTTGAAGTTCCTAGGCCTTAAAGTTTTCTTAAGTTATTGATCGGAACAACGGTTTTTGCTTACAAGGTCAATGTGACCTTGACCTTTGACCCTTGACCCCAAAATCAATAGGGTCATCTACTGATCATGACCAATCACCATACCAAGTTTGAAGTTCCTAGGCCTTAAGGTTCTTTTAGTTATTGAATCGGAAAACCGTTTTTTGCTTACAAGGTAGAGTGTTAATCAATTTAACTTTAACTCTTACACATAAGTCGTTTTTAAGCAATGTACATGTTAGCTTGAATCCGCTCTTATGCGACCTTGACCTTTGACCCCTTGACCCAAAATCAATAGGGGTCATACTACTGTTCATGACCAATCACCATACCAAGTTTGAAGTTCCTAGGCCTTAAGTTTCTTTAGTTAGTGATCGGAAACCGTTTTTGCTTTACAAGGTCAATGTTGACCTTGACCTTTGACCCCTTGAC